AACAAAGGAAGGTAGAATGGCACTCACATGAGTTTACTACCTTGGGTTTACAGCCCAAGGGAGTTTACGGCCGTAAACTCATGGTTACTCATGTATAAGTGCAATTTTGAAGGCTATAGATGTTTTAGGGACCTTAGCTCTACCCTAGGGTGAGGAAGACTATTTTCTTTGATGCTTTTGGGGTGTTCACGACCCTAATGAGTTTAAAACCGTAAAATCATGACCATTTATGTTTATGAGAGTTGTTTAGGGTCCTACAAGTCATAATGAAACATCCTAACTTCAAGTCTAAGCCTTAGGAAGTGTTTGTGGCGTCAATACACCCTTAAATTGAGTTTTCAGCCCATGGACCACTTTGATATGTGTTTGCGACCATAATCACCTATGGGTGATGGTATTTTGATTGTTTTGAGTACTAAACACATCAAGGTAAAGTGCTAGGCTAGTCTCTAGGCTTAAGGAAGGAATTTGGGTCATCTTTGCACCATAAAAGGGAGTTTACGGCCCAAGAACATGCTTGGCCGTAAACTCTCTTCCAACCTTCGATTCTTAATGTTTTTAAGTGTCTAAACATGAATCCTAATTGAATATGTAGTATAGGGAAGAGCACTTACGATCTAGAGGCTTGAAATGGTTGATATTGGCCAAGAACACTAGTGTGTGTTCTTGGTGTTCTTGGTGTAACTTGAATATCTAAACAAACATGATTTTCATGGTTGAAATCAATGTAAGAAACTAGATTAAGAGTTGTATCAACTAATAAAGGATGAATACTTACTAGTTTTGAAGATCTAGGGTGATTGTTGTTATTATATTTGAGAGACAACCAAGGAGAATTGGCCAGGGAATGAGAGAAATGACTTAAAATGACCATTTTGCCTTATATATGCTCTTGAGTTTAAGGCCCCATGAGTTTACGGCCGTAAAATCATGGTCTTGTGGACGTGAACTCACTTAGATGAGGTTAGGGTTCGTTTTGCTACACTGTGGTTCTAGCGGTACTTTCTAACACTTATTCCTTAAGTGTATTAGGCTCAAAACTCCTTAGAATGACATGTAACAAGGCCAAAACTCTGTACTAATGATTTTGACACTCACTTGAGTTGACTGACTGAGCTTATAAAAATAAAAATTTTCGGGTTGTCACATAAGGACTCCCATACCGGAAACAACTTTCGCTTCTCTTGTCACCACACTTTCATGTGACTTGAGAATACCAACAAGCTTATCTAATGTATAACTTATGAATTGTTCATGTGCTTTAATAGTAGACACGACAGCCATCCAATTTGATTTGAGTCCATTCATGAAGGTAACTTTTTGTTCGGTCATTTCGCGCCCGATACCATGCTTCACCATTCTACTAAGAAGATGGTTGTGGCGATTGAACGTCTGGCTCAAACTTTCTTCTGGCTTTTGTGTAAATGCCCCAAACCCCGAAAGTAGAAGCGTTTGGGTATCATGCTCGAGATCAACATCAGTAGAGTAAAGCTCTTTAAGCCTATCCCAGATCTCTTTCGTTGTAGTACAAGAACTTACTAAGCGAAACGTATCAGAATGTGGGGTGAATCTGATTACCCTCATTGCTTTGATATTGCTGATAAGTTTGTCTTTCTCATCCTTAGGGACTTCCTTCACATCAATGAGCAGTTGGTTGTATTCCTTTTGAGTTTTGATGGTTCTTCGAGTCTCAGTATGAACAAACAGACCTAGAGTAATGACTTACCATATCAGGTAACCATTATCCACAGATCCAATGACATAGTCTTTGAAATGTGACGCCCAAACTTTATACTCCAGAGGGAACAAGACTGGAATCCTTGTAGTCGATCCTATGTTGCTTGTGATGTTGATAGAGTTTAACTGTGAATCATCGTGCTGCATGTTGACTTGATTTCTATACCTGTCAAGAATCAGACTTGTAAACACGTATTAAGTTAATATAGAGATCACAGAGTTACGTCAATAAATCAGTGACGGCTCCAACATATCCAATATTTGTGGAACCCTAATAATTTCTTCAAATAGAAGAGTTACGTATTGAGTACACAACCTCCTGATCTGATACCAATTGTTAGGAATAAAATCCTCTTAGATTGATTAGTTTCTAACAAGTATAGTATTATCAAGATATGAAAACAAGAACACAAAATGTATCAATTGGTGTCGAATGATTAAAAGACACAACCTCAAAAGAACTCTAAAGAATTGCTATTATAGAGGCATGCTAGGGTTACAAAGAAAAGAACAATCAACAGTTAACTAAAATAAGATGCATGCATGCACCATATATACTCTAACCCTAGAAATAAATACGGTTGGATAGGCCCAAACCGTGTACATAATGGACATATACAAAATAGACCAAATAACGCAATCTAATATTCCCAAAAAGATACTATTTGTGATGGAATTTGTGTCTTAGTGGATGAATGTAATGCAACACGTAATTTTGTAATATATACGTATCCTAGTTTTAATTCCATTTCTAAATTTATCTTTGTAAATCCTGAGATAGCATCCAAGTCTAGCAGAGCTTCATTTGTTTTGTCATCCATGAATTTCAAGGACACCTTGTTTGTTCTAAAGACATGAATGTGTGAAATAGTTTTTATTTACAATTCTAAATTATTAGACTAACGCTATTGAGTTACTATAAATGGATAACTACTACCTTAAGAACCATGATGTAGTTGACTTAGGACTAAAAAATTTGTGTTAACTGAAATAAATGTGTTGAAAAGGTGAGTTCTAATAAACATGTACCTGATGGGTTTCGAGCACTATAACATCCCTATGGTGCACATACAACCCTAATGCTTTGGATCTAAGTTTTCTCTAGTTATACGTGCAATTTTCATTTTTCCAAAGTATGAAGTCTAACTAGCACAAAACTTGATATTTGAATCATAAAAAACTAGTTAGATGATTACATTTTGTTGTAGCTTGTAGAACTTGGCCTTTCAAGAGCTTAGCACCTCAAATGTGATGCCTCTAATAAGTCACAAAAACCACCAACAATTAGAGGAAAATGAGAGGGAGCTTGGAGGCGCCAAAATCAGCTATACTCTTCTTAGAATATTTATGTGTACCGATTTTGGGACTACGGGGTTAAATATATATAGTGTAGAATTCCAAGGGTCACTTGTAAACCCTAATTCATACACTTAGGTGTATGATCCAATAACTCATTTGGACTAACACTTCATGGACTATCACATAAACTTAGTCCATCACAAATCATTCATGGATTATTGGCCCAAACTATATATTTCCATGTTATCCACACTTTACATATTTGCAGGTTAATCCAAATGCGATTAAGGTAACATTAAAGAACAATACTATCAACCAAGCAAGTCAGTACTTAAATGCTCCAACAATTTCTCATTTTCAATCCGTCAAACGTATCCTTCGCTATGTCAAGGGACCTATTGCTTTTGGACTCACCTATAGTTGTCCTCACTCCACTAATATTCTTGGTTACTCTGATGCTGACTGGTCCAAATGTTTGGAAACACTTTGGTCTACATATGGTTACTCGATCTTTCTTGGTGGTAATTTGGTCTCGTGGAGTGCTAAGAAGGAACCTATTGTTTCTCTCTCTAGTTGTGAGTCTGAGTATCGTGCTATGGCCAACACATCTGCTGAAATTGTTTGGATCACTCATCTTCTTCGAGAATTACATGTTCTACCTCCGGATAGACCTACTTTTCTTTGTGATAATAAGCGTGCTCTTTTCATGACTCAGAATCCAATCTCTCATAAACGTGCTAAACATCTTGATCTTGATTATCATTTTATTTGAGAACTTGTAGCATCTGGCAAGTTATATACCAAGTTTATTCCAACTAAGCTTCAAATGGTTGACATATTCACTAAAAGTCTTCTTCATGCTCAATTTGAACATTTTCGCACCATGCTTCATCTTGGTCGACCACCGTTAAGCTTAAAGGGGGATATTAGATAATGATATTGTATTTAATAATGATCTTGTATTGATTAGTATGTATTTGTTTATGTATTTAT